ATATCATCGCATCAATCATCTGTGTCTGAATGCATGGTGATGCAGACCATGTGATGGAAACCAGTGACAAAGTGCCACTGCATAGCTTGCAAAACAGGAAGGCTTTCATAAAATTGATGAGGGTGACATTGGAGAAATGCTAAGCCATTGGTAAATTTGAATCTAGCAAAATTAAACCATTAAAGAATAAAATTTCCATTTTTCCTTTATTTAAAATAGTTTCTTTTTTCATACAATATATCCTGATTATAGTTTCCCCTCCCTCTATTCCTCCCAACTTCTTCCCACCTACCCTCCCTCCAGATCCACTCCTTTTCAGTCTCTTCTTAGAAAAGAGCAGTCTTTTTAGGCTATGTATGCAGTGTGGCGTATAGGCACATATGGACATGGAGAGGCATGTATAGCCACCACAAGGACATCTGTTCAACAATGTTCATCACAGCATTATTTGTAATAGCCAGAACCTGGAAACAACCTGGATGCCTCTCAACTGAAGAATGGATAGAGAATTTACACAATGGAGTACTACTCAGCAGAACAAAAAGCAATGGAATCTTGAAATTCACAGGCAAATGAATGGAACTAGAAGTCATTTTGAGTGAGGTAACCCAGTCACAAAAAGACAGGCATGGTATGTACTAACTCATATGTGCATTTTAGACATAGAGTAAAGGATTGCCAGCCTGCAGTCCATGCTGCTGGAGAGGCTGGTAAACAAGGAGGACCTAAAGAGAGACACACATGGTCCCCTGGAGAAGGGGAAAGGGACAAGATCTCCTGAGCAAATTGGGAGCATGGGGGAAGGGGAGAGGGAACCAGGAGAATGAGAAGGAGAGAAGAAGAGGAGTGAGGAAGACATGATGGGGCAGGGAGGTTGAGTTGGGGGAAGAACAGAAGAGAGCAAGGTAAGAGATAATATAATAGAGGGAGTCATTATAGGTTTAAAGAGAAATCAGGCACTAGGGAAATGTCTGGAGAGCTACAAAGATGACACCAACTAACAATCTAAGCAACAGAGGAGAGGCTACCTTAAAAGCCCTCTCCTGATAATGAGATTGATGACTAATTCATATGCCATAGTATAGCCTTCATCCAGCAGCTGATGGAAGTAGAAGCAGACACCCACAGCTAAACCTTGAACTGAACTGAAATCCAGTTGCATAGAAGGAGGACTGATGAGCAAAGGGGTCCAGACCAGGCTGGTGAAACCCACAGAAACAGCTGTCCTGAACAAGAGAGCTCTCTTGGTCCCCAGACTGATAGCTGGGAAACCAGCATGGGACTGACCCACCCCATGAATGTGGGTTTCAATAAGGAGAACTTGTAGTAGATCAGTACTTATCCCTAGCATAAGAATGGACTTTCAGAGCCCATCCCATATAGAAGAATATCACCTGAGCTAGACACACCGGATGGGCCTAAGCCCTGTCCCAAAGAATATGATAGACTTCGAATACCCCCAATGGAAGGCCTCACTATCCCTGGGGAGCAGAAAGGGTATGGGATAGGTAGGGTGTTAGTTGCGGGGGGGGGGGGCAGGGAAGGAGGGGAGGGAGATGGACCTGGGATTGACATGTAAAATAATTTTCTTTCTAATAAAAAATGAAGAAAAGGAGAAATCTTTTACAAGATAACAACCAAACATGACAAAATAAAATATAATAAGATGAAGCAAAAGCTATCACATGGCAACCCAATAGGAGGAGAAGAGTCCTACCAAGAGCAGGTGCAGGGACCACAGACCCATTTGTTCTCATAGTCAGAAGTCCCATAAAAATACTAATCTCATATTCAGAGGACCTGGTGAAGACTTAGTAGGCCCTGTGCTTGCTGCTTCAGTCTCTGTGAGTTCATATGTGACTTGCTTAGTTGATTTAGAGGGCTTTGTTCTCCTGATGTCCTCCATGACCTCTGACTCTAACAATCTTTCCACCTCCTCTTCGACAAGATTCCCTGAGCTCTGAGGGGAGGGATTTGATGGAGACTTCCACTTTAGTCTGTCTCTCCATGTAATGTCTGGGCTGTGGGTCTCTGCATCTATTGCCATCTGCTGCTGGGAGAATCCTCTCTGGTGATGACTGCAGGCTGCTTGATAGTAGACTATCATTAGGAATCGTTTTATTGATACATTTTTTAGACTGGTAGTAATGTTTGTTTTTTACCCTATGTCTCTGGGCTGTATAATCTCTAGTTCTTGTTAGGGTGGAGCATCCTTTAGGTATATGCCCAAGAGTGGTATAGCTAGATTTTGATCTAGATCAATTCCACAAATAAATGAGTTCAAGGCTATTCCCCACTTCCCTGTTCTTTCAGGTTCCGTGTATCTGGTATCATGTGGGTCTTTGATCCATTTGGAGTTGAGTTTTGTGCAGGGTGTTTAGATCTGTTTGTGTTCTTCTACAGGCTGACGTCCAGCATGAGCAGCACCATTTGTTGAAGATGCTATCCTTTTTCCAGGGTGCATTTCTGGCTTCTTTATCAAAAATCAGATGTGCATATGTGTTTGGACTTTTTTCTGGGTCTTTAATTTGATTCTATTGATTCATGTACTTCATGGCATGCACACACACACAATAAATCAATGTAATAAAAGTTTTAAAAAACTCATTTATCTTATATTCTAGTCTTGAAAGTAGTGTGAGACTGAAGATGGTTCTAAGCTTCTGTCATATAAATTGTCACACAGATACTCCTTGCTCTCCTACGGTCCCAATTATAATCAGTATTTTGTTAAATAAAAGGCAAAGCACACTTATTTTCAATTTAATTTCTGATGTTGAAGTCTTGATCAAACCTATTGTTACTATGAGATTCCGATTCTCATTTAAAAATGGATTCAGTTGTGATGGCCATTTCCTGGTATCATCTGTACTTTGAGCATTGAAGTCACAGCATGTGGTACCCACGCACAATTTAGAGATTTGTTCCAAGTGTAGAGTTAGCAAGGAGAAATGAGTAAGCAGGGAAGGCTCCCTGGAAGAGGCAGTGCCAAGGTGTTCAGGTTGGGGCTTCAGTGACAGATAAACAGAGGTGGCTGGAAGCAAAGATATTGCTTCTCAAGGCAACCAGTGAGATAGCCTGGACTTTAGGGGTTCAGATCCCTGGCTTCTCTCCTACTTGCTGTGTGAACCAGGAAAAATCACTTCTCTGACTCTTTGATTTCTTCTTTGAAAATTTGTACATAGGGAAAAGGTCAGTGTATGATATATCTAAGTTATGATAAGCTAATCAAGACATCTCCATTCTGCTCCCTTCCTCGGGGACTTGCAGAGAGACAGCAATAGCATAGATAAAGACCTTTATCTGTGGTTGATGAGCTTTGGCTGGGTTTGAAGTTGCCCCTTGTACTGGGGAGTTGTCAGTAAGAACCTAGACACATTAACCAGCCATAAAAGAAGGGCCACTTCGAATACGTGAAAATACATTCTTATATAACACGAAAACAGCACCAGGGAACACAAGGTATTTTTCTAATCTTTTAATCCAGAGAATGGAAAATAACTTTGCAACAATCAGCAGTTAGTTACTGTGAATCACACATTCTGCGGGTCTCAGATGAGTGCCTGTTGTCAGTACCACCATTTTCTGGATGATGACACTGAGGCTAAGGAATTTGGCCAAGGCCTCAGAGTTCACAAGGGAGCTGAGACCAAAATCCAGGTCTCATTCTCATTCCTTCTAGTTAGCTCAGATTCCTCCTGCTTAGTCATCTTAAGCAGTACATTTGTCTCACAGTGACTAAGCAGTTACAGTTCTTCTAATTGCCTCACGGATTGTCCATTGGTAGCATGTACATGCTTGTTTAAAAAGCTTAGTTAATTTGAGGTGAGGCATTTATGTTGGCAGAAGAAAGAGGACAGTCATTGAAGTCACTGTTTATTCATCAAATAATCAAATATTTACTTAGAAATGCTTTGTATTCAGAAATGCTTGAAATAAAAAATGTTACATTAGAAGGATTTATCATTTATTATGAGATATAAAATGTCAAGTGATAGCTGGGCTTGGTGGCACACTTTTTAAATTACAGCAGTCAGGCAGACTGCTGTATGAGTTCAAGGCAAGCCTGTTCTACACTGTGAGTTCCATAAACAAAACCAAAACCAAAAAAGACTCTCCAAACACCAAGCTCCACAAAAACCATAAATTTCCCCAAACAAAAAGACGCGTGGTTTTACGTGTGATAAGTACTTACAATTGTCTCTTTACAGAACTTAAAATCACCTTGAAATAGAATTTCAGTGGGGAATTATCTTATGCATGTCTGTGAGGGATTTTTATTAATTATGTTAATGAGGTGGGAAGACCCACTCTGAATGTAGTTCACACAATTCCGTGGGCTGGGCCATGATCTGTATAAAAGTAGAGAAAGCTAAACACTAAACTTGCATACATTAATTTATCTCTGCACCTGCTGTGGATGTGACCAGACATTTTAAGTTCCTGAAGCCTTGACTTTTCTGCTATAAATTGTAATATGGAATTGTTAGTAAACATTTCCCTAAATTGCTTTCTGATAGGGTCTTTTATCACAGGAACAGAAATGAATCTTGAATACGATAGTAAGAAAAGAGAAAGAATAGTATGTGAGGTGTGGTCACTGCACAGGGGTGATCCGATGTGTCTCTGAGTTTCAGAAAAGCCCAAGCACACAGCAAGATAACCATTGGAGACTGTTAAGCAATTAGTGGGAGGACTTGCCCTCTGGGTTTTGGCTGGATTCAGCCAACAAGGAACATTGCCAAGGGATTGATTAGCAAAGAAAGAGACTTTATTCCCCCAGGTTTTGCCTTTTTGGGGTCATCTTGTTTTGTCTTTATTGCCTGGCTGAAGGGTACTGCAAGTGTTAAGTGGCTCTTTCAATTAGGCATTTTTTTTTCATTTTAATAATTTCTTTCTTCCTTTGCTTCTTCAGGTTCCAGGATAGTAAAGTCATTGTTACCAGTCTTAGAGGGTAGGTATTTCATTATAATTTCCCTCCACTGCCCACATCTTTTAGCATGGTCTCTGTATTAAAACTTCACAGACAGAAGAAGTACAATGTTCGATCTATGCCCATTCAAAAGGATGATGAAATTCAGGTTGTCCGAGGACACTACAAAGGTCAGTAGATTGCCCAAGTGGTCCAGGTGAAGAAATACAGGAAGAAACACATCATCTACATTGAGCAAGTGCAGCAAGAAAAGGCTAATGGCACAATTGTCCATGTAGGCATCCACCCCAGCAAGGTGGTTATCACCAGGCTAAAGCTGGACAAACACCCCAAGAAGATCCTGAAAAGGAAAGCCAAGTGTCGACAAGTAGGAAAGGAGAAGGGCAAACACAAGGAAGAAACAATTGAGAAGATGCTGGAATAGGGGCACAGCTTTCATTAAAGACTGTTCAAAAGGGGGGAAAAAACAAACTCACAGACTGGTGAGATAGCCCAGCAGGTAAAGGCACTTACCTTGAAAGCCTGGCATATACTATACTCCATCTTTTGAACCCACATAAAAGTAGGAGACAACCCACTTTGCAAAGATGTTCACTGACCTTAACACATGTTCCATGGCACACATATGCCCCTTTCACATTATGTACACACACACACACACACAATAATAAAAATAAATAATTCACAAAAAATCCAGTTGGAGTTCCATCTTGTTTCTATCAGGACCTTGTTAAAATATTAATCATATGTTTGTTTAGAACAACTTTAGATAGAGGGCAGACTCTGCATTAGAAAGTAATATGAGAATGCAGGTAATGAGACCAAAGTAGACCTGAACTTGAAAGATATTATGGGAAAGAGAGGAGGCATACACAAGACACTTAAGGCGGAGCTATCGTGACTTGATACAGCCCTCATAACCAATCCTACCAATCCTTGGCAACCAGTAACTAGGACTCTCAGACCATTTCCCGTCATCACAATGGAATGCATGAAATGGGTAAAATAAAAGAAGTTTATTTTGTTCATGAATCTGGGGTCAGAGAGTTCAAGGACATAGTGGCAGGTTCTGGTGAGAGATTTGTACTGTGTCCTTACATTGTAGAAAGGGTAAATAGATGCATAAAAAGTGAAGAAACAAGAGGCAGCCTTGTTGTAAGACAACCCACCCTAAGGAGACTGATCCAGCATTTGAGAACAGAACCAATGTATTTACAAGGGTGCCCCAGATGCTTCTTCCATCACCACACTGGAGATCAACTCATGGGTTCTGGGGAATGAACCATAGTATATGGTTAGGGAAAACTCTTCCTTGTAGTTTATTTTGCACCAGTTTAAGCAAAAGTGAAGATTTATAGAAAAGTATAAGAGAGGTGAGTAGAAGAGGTGTCCCCCAAACTTTTAGATAATGTGACAGGGAGGCAGGCTCAGAGGACTCAGGAACAATTCGAGTTTTCATTGGTTTTATGGTCCTGTCCCACTGGGTCAGGATGGCATTTCTGGCTCCATCCCATTTTCCAGGGCCCATTAGGCGATATTGGTAAGGGGAACATGGTCCAAAAAAAACTTCCCAAGCTAGCCTTGGATCCTTGATGAAGAGAAGTGGAATGTTGGGTTTTGAGCCTATGCACTGAGCAATCTCATCCATGTAGGAAATGAAATTGAGTTTGTCTTGACTGGTTTCTTTAATCACACCCCTATGGGCAAAAAAAAAAAATAAAGATAAATGATATTCATTAACCACCCCCTGTTCTGCATCTCATGATTTATAAGATTATCTCCTTGCTCTACAATTTTGTTTCTGCTGTGTTAGAATCAAACTTGATTTTGGGAAAGATTTTCTATGTTGGAAAGAAAGAGCTCAGGGTGATTTTTTTTTTCAAGCACATCTGCAAGGGCAAATTTGTTATAGGAAGTAGAAAGAAAAGCAGTTAGGAAGTAAGCTTGTGGTGTTGAGCATGGCAAGAAGCTTACACCTGGTCTGTCCAAATAAGTCGTTGTTAATGAGTGGACAGGATCAGAAATCATTTCACATGTGGACAGGGATAGGAATAATCCCAGTTACCGGGGAGGCTGAGGCAGGAGGATTACTTGAGTTCAGGAGTTGAAGCCCAGCCTAGACCACATAACAAAAAAAGTTCATATATAGACACCATAGTTATGATATTTAGAAGTGCAGGCCAGGATTGAGGCCATCTGGGAGTGGGATCTAATTTTGGGGCTCATCAAGTTTAAGGAGTGAGAAAGATGAGATGGAGCAAATGCAGATGAATATTCATATATTCACACCTTTGAGGTAGAGAGGAAATGCACACAGAATGGATTTCCTGGGAAGTCAGGGTCAAATGCACTGACTCATAGGTAGTCGAATAGAACTTAAGAATGTTTCCCTTATAGCAAGCTATACTTCTCCATACCTTTTAATGAGCTCCTTCTTTTTAGTGGCTTCAGCCATCAGTTTCTGGGGTGGAGGTATAGTACAGAGTCCTGTGAGGAAGACCAGAACAACAGTAAAGACATTAGCTTTTCTTTTCCTTAAATTCTGCATCCTCTCATTTCTGGCTTCCCTCTGCTCCTGTCCCGGAACTTAGTGTGAAACTACACTACACAGGGGACTTCCTGGAGGTGAAGCCCTATTCACTAGGGAACTTCATTGTCAGGCTCTCAGCTGTGCCACCCACAGCAGACATCACATCTGCTCCGCAGTTGCTGGAGTTCTATCCATTGTCATGTTCCCCCTTCTTCCTATCAATACAATCTATATTATATTGTATAACACTCCTGTATGATCCGTGTGTGTGTGTGTGTGTGTGTGTGTGTGTGTGTGTGTGTGTGTGTGTGTGTGTGTTAAAGCCATTAGCTGTTTAAAGAGAAACATTTAGATCCCCATTTTTGTAACCCCGAGAAATCAAATGTGTCATAGGAGGTAAGTCTTATGGGCTCAATCTCAGCCTCAGAGGAGCTCTCTGTGGTATCTTGTGTGGACGACCTCTGTAGGATCATAGTCTGGGAATGGAGTAGTATAAGGAGAATTCTGAGTTCTTGTGAGAACACTCCAAGAAAACAGGAGTCTTGTGACTTCTGTTTCTTCAAGACATGGAACTATTCTTGGGCATGTTTTCATGTTCCTCCCAGGTGTATCAGATAGGAGTGTGTTTACTTTAGATTACTCATTATTGCTTGCTGCTGTTATTCAATTAAATGTTTACATGATTCTTAATATGCCTCTGTGGAAAAAATTTTTTTTTTTGCCACTTGTGGCTCATCCTTGAGATTGCATACAGCTTGAACTGACAAGAACTTTACTCATGTGACCTCTCTCTCTCTCTCTCTCTCTCTCTCTCTCTCTCTCTCTCTCTTTCTCCCTCCTCCTCCTCCTCCAGATATGGTTTCTCTGGATAGCCTTGGCTATCCTAGAACTCACTCTGTAGACCAAGTTGGCCTCAAACTCAGAGATCGGCCCGCCTCTGCCTCCTGTGTGCCACCACCGTCCAGCATATGTGACCTTTCTCAACCCTCAGAGTATAAACTGTCTGAGGTTTTGAATAAAGCTAGCATGGGACTTTAGTCCACCTTATTTATCAGCTCCATTCTCCCAGGTCCCACCACTTCTAGAGCAGTGACAAACTTCCTTCTTAGGACAGTAATAGAACTTGACCTCTGCTCATTTTAATTTTAGCCTATCCAAATGGACTCTGACCTTTCTCTAGTGGCTCAGCTCCCAGTGTCTAAAATCTCATTCTGTCCGTTGGGTTTTCTGGAAGTTACCCTTACCCACTTTATGTGAACCTGCTCTCCCTAGCCCCCACCCGCAGCTTCCCCAACTTACCCTCAAGCTACTTACGACCTTGATAATCCGACCTATTCCCCATCCTATTCTGGCTCGTCCTGCCCTGCCTGGTACCAAGTGGCAACCATACGGTGTGGTGCAATATTCTCAGAGTAAGGTCTGACACAGCTCTGTGCTGCATTTTCTGCCAGAGTTTTGTTATCTTGTAAAAAACTAGCAAGACTGTTCGCTTAGGCGCCTCTTGGAAGTGCTTAGGTGGACTACACAATTACGTGAGCCAATCACGCTGTGTCTTGCCAACTGTATTGTTTTAATACATGTTTTACAGCTCATTATACATAAACAACACTAGTTATTAAAGGGTCTTCTGTGGTTTTCATGTAATTGGATAGTGCTGTGAAAGCATTTTAATTGGCCTTAAGAAAATACAAATTTTTGATAATTTAATGAAGGGTTGAAATTCTTTTCATGTGCTATAGGATCTTCTAAACTTGCCTTACCCTCTCCTTTCATTCAAATAGCATGTTTGCAGTTGGGCCTTGTGGTACAGGCTTGTAATTCGAGTTAACCAACAGTTTGAGGCAGGGGGATAACAAGTTTGAGGTCAGCTTGTGAATTTTAGTAAAAGCCGGTGTCAAAAAAAATGCTGAGAGTATAGCTCAGGGCTAGAGTGTTTGCATGGCACATGCAAGGCTCTGTGTCCAAACTCCAATACTATAAAACATATATTAAACAAAACCACATAAATAACCAAATAAGTAAATATAAATTGAATATTAATTAACTTAGAGGAGCACAAGCTGCTATAAAAATATTTATTCTTTTATGTGTATGAGTGTCTTGGCTACATGTATGTGCTGGATCGCTTGACATTGATCATAAGCTGCCATATAGGTATTGGGAAATGAACCTGCGTTCTTTGCAAGAAATTACAGTTCTCTTGAGCGATCTCAAGTAAGGTTGGTGTCTTATTGCAATTACAGTGTGAGATTACTCGTGATGATTTTTATTTGCTAAGGATGCTATCTAGATGAAGGACCTGAGATCTTAAGAGGTCTTTACAAAGCCAATGAGTTTCAGTGCTTGGACTGGACCCTACAAACTGTGGTCTCCAGGACCCTTAGCTTCTTGAAGCTATAATGGACAGCAACTAATGTCCAGGGTCAAATATTTTTATAAGCATGTGTGAACAGTTATGAGGCAGGATAGAAAAACAGGGAAATTTATGGGGCCATGGAATCTGGTTGAGGCCTCTCACCAGATGAGAATCAAGAATTCCAGCACAATTAACAATTGCTATGAAAGTTGCCCACATAGACACAGAATTCCTTTAACATAGAAAAGAATGTTAAAATAGAAACAAACCATGCTTTAAGGCCTAAACCTATATTACTTTGATGTATGGCTTTGCTCCTTTCCGAGATATTTTCTGGGAAGATCAAAGACAAGACAGTTAAAACATCTTCCATGCGTCTTCGGACCTGGAGCTTTTCTTTATCAGCTGTAATTCTATCCAAGGCATAGGTACCACCCTCTGAGTTCATTCAGACTCCCCTGCAGCCCTTCAAGATGAAACCTAGGAAGCCAAAACCCTACCATATATGGCTACTGTAAGGCACTTTTCTGAGAAGCCGAGATGTGCCTTACTTTGTTCCCAAAAGCCCCGTTTAATCAACTCCAGGCCTGCTTTGGACTGACTCGTCCTGAAATTCTTCTCTGTGGTGAAGCCAAGGATCTTTCAGTCCCTGATCAGAGGTCTCTGGAATGGAGGGAAGAGCTAAGGCTCTAGGCTGCAGTGTGGAGCAGTGTCTCTGCTGTGCCATACCTGATAGCCACTCTCTTAAGATCTCATTTTATTCACAGGATGCATTATTAAAATATCATTCTTTGGAAGCAATATGGGATTCTGTCTTTAGTGACAAATGGTAACACTGAGCTAGAGTAGAATGGGATCTCTAAACTTTGGTTAATCTAAAATATTTGGCCAACTCTGTCTCGTAATTACATCCCATCGGCATAGTTCTCCCTCAGTCAGATGGAATGGCATAAGCACACCTCTTATAATGGCACACACACATATATAATTAATTGCTCACTAAGTTTAGTTCTAGTATTTTATATTACTTCAGCTCATGTCTGTTTGACTAGTTAAATGGCAGGACACTAATTTTAAGATTGATGGCATTTGTGTTTAAATAGAGCAAACACACCTACCTTTGAATACTCTTGTAGCCCATCGTGCTTGGAGCTCTGTGCCTGCTAAGATAGATCCTGTAAGGCTGATCAGGCCAATGATGGCTAATGTTGTTCTCTCCAAACCTGGTGGGAAGACTCGCTTGTATAGCATGATCTTATTTGCACAAAGGCTTTTGAGTGGTTCTTCAAAAAAGGGAAAAGAAAATTCATATCCTGTAGCGAAGATCACCACATCGATGTTGGCTTCTATTGTCCCATCTTCAAAAATGATAGAGGATTCTGTAAAATCCTTGATGCTGGCCTTCATAGTGATTTTGCCACAAAGGATGCAGGTTGGTAGCTCATCATTCACGATAAATTTTTGTTTTTGCCTTTGAAAGAGGAGAAAAGTATTCACTATAGGTACCTATAAGGGACTTTAGCAAATGATTTCTTCAGTCAGTTGAATTAAATTATCTGCCAAGTCAAGGAAGTTGAGTTGACCAGTGTCTAATTTGAAGCTGGCAATCTAACAATCACTGTGTTTATAAAACATGCTGTCCCCATGCTCTCTGTAGAAAGGCATGTGGAAAATGACTCTTTATTAACTTGGTTTACAATTCCCTTTCTAAAAATTACACACATACACAGAGAGAGAGAGAGAGAGAGAGAGAGAGAGAGAGGGG